TTTGTAAGGTAACCAACAGCCAAGTCAGAAGAAATGGACATTATATGCACACAAAAAACTTTTTCAGAAGTACCAACAGAAACAAAAACTTTCAAGCTAGGTACCGGGAACACAGAGGGTGAGGAAAGCATAACATACTGTAATAAAAGGATATTGAAAAAAGACAAAAAACCTCATTAAAAGAGTACTTTAGACTTCTCAAGAGATGGCTACTAAGTACCTGCAGAAGACAGGCCTTAGAACTGAAATGACCAACTATACTGAACACCAGAGCCAGGGACTCAGCAAAGGCACTACTTTCATTAAATGATAAAATTTTCTCCCCTTCCTGCTCTTAACTACCCCTTCAATGACCCAGCGGCTGTATTTGCACTGAAGCTAGTGACTGTGTCTATAGCTAACCTCTCCCCTTGCTCCAGAGCCAACTAACGTGCCTCCACGGGGGTTCCACAGGTACTACTTTTTCTCCCATATAGGCTGACTGATGAACACATCAAGTTAAGCTCAGAGTAGTTTTTCTTGACCTGTTTTTAGTTTGAATTCAATTCCTGTTTCAGGCTTAAAGAATCACTAAAAAGCCCAAAACTTACCTATCATTTCAAAGTCTGTCAGCAGATCCAATGAAAGATACTACCCTTCCCTACAAACCATACCCCTCTGAACAGGTACGGGTGTCTCTTCATTCAATGGTAAATATTAAGCTTCCCTCTGTTACAGAGAAAAGCTCTGTGAAATTTTTTACTGAACTTAAAAGAAGATGGAAGGCTTAAACAAAATCATGTGTCAGATGCTCTAGCATCATGAGCTGAAAATAGCTGCACAACTGCAAAGGACTATTAGTCTCAATATATTATTAATCAAACAGCATCAGTAGATAATAAGCCAAGTCACAAAAGGCTATTTGCATGACCAAAGTCCTCAACATTTAATGAGGTTTACTTTGAAGTTAATGTACCCAAAATGGGAGACACAGGAGGGGCCACAAATATCAATACTGATTTCTTTTGACACTACTATCTTGGCCTGAAACCCCTGGCAAGAGAAGTACTCTGTGCAGGAGCATTTTCAGTGTTTCTATGAAAAATTAACAGAATGCTAAGTTCCATTTCGAATTTGAAATATGAATTTGAAATGTACTTTGCTCAAGCTTTGTTGAAGAAACAATTTATTACAGCACTTAATCTTCCTGATGAAAGAAAAGGAGATTTTAGCCTGCTAATAAGCTGCGTAGAAGCCATGACTAATTAACCTAATTATAGCAGTCTGTGACAAAATGTGATTGTACTGAAACCATGCCTCAAGTAACTGGAGTTGCCAAAAACTCAGAGGCTAATAAACCAACACACATTAATAGAACGTAAACACTAATAAAGTTGACACCAGCCATATTATTTATAGCAAAATCAATACTACAATCATCACAAAAGACAATCTGAAAAGTATTCACTATCTGACAATAAAGAATTTGCTACCTGAATATCCTGAAACACACAAAATTAGCACAGATTATTGACCAGTGACTGCAACTCTTCGAGGTGTGCAGTTCATGGGAACAGAGGATGCACACTGAAGCTGAAGACACCTGACGTGCAGCACAGTTGAACGCAGGATGTAAAATCCTGCCATCTCACAGCTCAGCTAGAGGGTAGATACAGAGCAGCATTTCTTGGCATCACATAGTTTCCATCTCTACCGCAAACCCCAAGAGACTCAGTGGGAGAGAGGAAGCCACGGGGAAAGGGCTCAGCTCAAAGAGACTCAGTTATTGCAAAGCACCTTAAGGTGAGAGTCCACTCTCAATTACTGCCTACCTCAGATTAAGTCTCCAGCTGCTCCATGCACACAATGATTACGTGATAAGCACCCAACACTGCATCAGTTTTGAATGGCTGAGGAATGACAGAGTGCAGGCTATGGTGGGGATAAAGCTTGGGTACATAGCTGATGGAAGGGGTGAAGACCTTGTTTAGTGATGCCACTGAGTGTTTGAGCTTTGATGAGTAGAAGTTCCTTACTGCGGGTCTCTTAGCAGGCTCTGACACAGTGTGCTACGTACTCTGCCACTCTATGCACTGAAGTGCCTGTTCTCCTGGAAATGTCAAATAGTGATGCAAGAATGAAGTCTGAAGAAAGAATGACTGGGAGTTGATGCTCCTTCTGGTGTTTATGACCGTGAGCTGGCAACTGTACCAACTTCATCACAGCAGTAAGGCAGTTGCAACAACCCTGATGAGATACACAGTGAACATGAAAGGCCATTTCACCCACACTGAATGGAACTGGCCAGCACAGAAGGGATCAACTCACAGAGCAAACTCACTGCAGACTTAGGTGTCTGCTTGAAGAATGTACCACCTGCAGGCAGGATTAGAAAAGGCATCCTTGGGCACTACAAGAGTAATATGTTTCCTAAAATGCATAAAAGGATCTCCAAAATGAGAATCAGAGCCTGAAACCTCTGAAATCTATGGTGTAAGGAACTTCACCTACCAGAGGAAACTTAGAGGACTGAAATAGAAAGAAACTTTGCAGTGCAGAGTGCTCCCAAATGGGGAAGAACATCAACCCAGAAGGACTCCAGAGGAACTGAAATGCACCATTCACTCTATATATCCCCATGCTGAACACGGGCAGGGACAGAGCAGAATTGAGAAAGCCTTAGATTTCAAGCAATGTACATGTATGATCGATAGAGACTGCACAGCCCAAAGTCAAAATATGCTGTTGCAAAGCAGGTATTTCATGGGCCAGGTGGCTGAGTTCCCCCGATTATGTATGTTGACCCTAAGCTTCCACTTAATTTGTCTTCAAATGAGAAACAAAAATAAAACTGCTGCTATATGAACAGCAGAACACCACCACTGAACAAAAGATGTTTAATGAAAAAGTGTAGATTTTTTTTTAATTCCTCCACTATTATGGAAATATGCCTTTTAGAGGATGAACACAGCTTGTTTTGCAAGAAGTTCCAGGCTGATTTTGTGGCTGAAAATGCGATTGTGACATTTTCAACATAAGCTAGGTTGCTTGCATGAGCAGAAAGAGGCAGAGGCCCCGTCCTTACTGCCAGTGAAGAAACAGAGATGATGACTTCTAGTCAGGGCAGATGTATCTGGCTTGAATTGGTCCATGCTACCATTTGAAATTGCTATGGGTGATCTGAGTTAGAAACATCAGTTTCATTTGACTTCTGAAATGCAGTCTGCAACTTAGAGCTCTAACTCTGGGTTAGTTTAAAAGACAGTGTTTTCCAAGTGAAGCACAGCTGAGCATGTGCTTGCATAGAAAGGCATGGGGCACCATAAACCAGGGCTTCTGAAAAATACTGGAAACCCCAAAAAACAATACAAACAGGAAAAGACTATCACAGATGTCCTGGGCCTGGATGAAGATATTTTGTCTGGTCACCCTCCAGGAACCAGATACATTCTCTGTACAGCATGGTAGAAGGGAGAGACAGGGAAAACCCAATGTCCCAGATGAAAATTTGAGAACTATTCCACTGAAACCAGGATGTCTTCACTCCCTTCTTTATGGAACCACAGAAATGTCCCACAAAGGCAGCACGCTAGAACTCAAATTGATTCTTAAATCACAGCAGGTGCCAGAGACTGATCAGAAGCCATAGTAAAACAAAAGATAAAACCTCAAATCCAACAGAGTGTGAATGAGCATGCCTAACTTGAAGAACACTTTGACCCCTTAGAGAAAATAAATCACAACCTGCTGAATCAGCTCCAAATCCAGCACAATTTGCATTTGTTGACAAACAGAAGCAAAGATGGGATAAATCACATCTCTCTGGGATGATCTTCCTCACCTCTCACTCCAAACACATGGCAGCAGTTAAGACTTTCTCATTGCCATGTGTCGTGGTTTGAGCTCAGGGGGCAACTGAGCATCACACAGCCGCTCACTCCCCCTCTCCCCCCAATGCTGAGAAGGAGAAAGTAAGCAAAAGTCTAGAATTCAACATAGGACAGGGAGGGATGAATCACCCATTACACTCACAGGCAAAAGACAGACTTGTTAGGAGAAGAAAAAGAAGAACATAAACTTAATAGACACTAACAGCAACAACATGTAACAGACAGAGTAGGACAGTGAAAAGCATTGCCACATCTTGAGAACACCTTCCCCCCACCCCTCCCTTCTTCCCGGGCTCAGCTCTGCTCCCGATATCTCTACCTTCTCCCCCAGTGGCGCAGGGGCAGGGAATGGGGGGTGCAGGCAGTGCTGCCGCTTCTGCCATCTTCAGGGGGCAGGGGTGGAACTTCTGGAACTTCTTCCCCCTGCTCCAGCATGGTCCCCCTCTCACAGCAGACAGTCCTCCACAACTCCTCTCCAATGTGAGTCCCTCCCACGGCTGCAGCCCTTCCCGAGCTGCTCCGGCGTGGGACACCCCTGCATGCTGCAATCCTCCCAGCGCTGAATTACAGCAGCGGGGGCTGCTTCTTCCCACAGGCTCCCAGCTGGCTTTGGGCACAGACACTTTAAGTGTTCATATGGGGCTCCCCACAGGCCATAAATCAGTGTCTGCTCCACCGTAGATCTCCATGGGTGGCGGGGGGGGCCGCCCTGCCGTCTCACCACAGGATACAGGGGGGTCTCTGCTCTGACAGACCTCCCCCCCTTTTTTCCTCCACTGATCCTGGTGTTCACATAGGCATCGCAACTCCTCCTCCCACGTCCCTTCTTAAATACATTATCGCAGAGGCGCAGCTGATGGGCTCGGCCTTGGTGCAGAGGTGGGGCTGCCTTGGAGCCGGGGGAGCTTCGAGAAGCTTCTCAGGGGTCACCACTGTAGCCCTCTCCCCTGCTACCCAAAAACCCCACCAATCAAGCCCAGGTCACCATGGCAGTATTTTTCTGCAGAAGGTCTGCCAGCTGTCACTACTCTGTCCCCAGGTCATCTCTGCAGATAGTCATGTCTCCCTTAAATCCCCACCTCCTCCCAAATAAAGGATGCTGATTTCACACGGTTCAAGTGAAGCAGATACCTTGATTCCTCCCCAGGAATGATTGGACAGGAACTCCACAGGGCTTGTGACTCTGGTCTGTGCTGGGTATCTCAGTAGGAAATCCAGTTCTACTGTGTTGATTTCTTTACTCATCAGAAGTATCTGTAATCCCAAACAAACAAAAGCAGACAGGATACAGAGCAGCAATATACTCTAGCGGATTAATTATTTAACCCATGTAGCTGCCAAATGTGTGGCTAAAAAGTACAGAGTGCCCCATGTTGGAGGGGTGTGAGGAAACATATCATGTAGGTGTTTTGGGTCTCCTCAAAAGCGGAGCAGGAATGTGTATGGAGACTGGCAACATAAGAGGACTAAAGTTTGGTAAAAGGGCTGTGATCCAGGTTCATAGACAGCACACTAAGGAAAAGTCCCTGCCAGCAGAGATGCAGACTGTAGGGTGTACTGCATGTCCCTGTGCTTGATACCTGCAGCTAGAGAACAGATAACTTTCTTGAAAGGAACCAGAGCATGCATCCCTAGGACAAGCTACTAAGGTCTTGTCCATCTCTCACTGTCCTGTTAAATTTTGAAAGTAAGTAGAGACATACTGAGAGTGTTTTGAAAAACAAGCAACCAAACGAAACCCTTATGGTACATGCGCCAAGACAATAAGCAGGTCCTTGAAGCCTCGAAGACTGGAGAGCGCCTAGGCTGTTCAGCTGCTACCAATGTTTTTATCACTGATGGTGGCTTTCAGGAATACATGGAGTAAGACTGCCAGAGAAATGTTCGAGGTAATTCTGGAAAACCATACATGCTCATCAGCCCAGCTGGAGCCATTGATCCAAGCTCGCTGCCAGACTCCAGATTTCTTAAATCTCAGAGACAAACTCCAAACCCCTGAACATCAATTCTGGGTGGAAAAAGAACAGTGCTGGAGTGCTGAGTTTTAATTTCCTTATCACAGATCCTAGACTGTACTGTTGGCCACTGAGCAATGTCATCTGAAGTGTGCCTGGCATCTCTTCCATCAATGATGGTAATGAGGTACTCAGTTCAAGAGCCAACTGCTTTTTCATATGGAAGAATCCTGTGCCTCATCACTCAATTGCCTCCACACACTGAAATCGTGGATTCTGGTTTTTCCTGACAGCTTAAAGTGACCCATTAACTAATTTTAATACTTAGTGTAGTTAAAACTTACCAGTTACAAGCTACATATTAGAAAATGTAGGTATCCTTTGGGTCAGAATTGAGGCTGACATTTAACATACAAGCTGGCTTTTTACACATAGACAATCTATTAACAACTCCATTTCTTTATATATGTATATGTATGTGTGTACATAGTTTCCCTTTTATACAAAATATTTTGATATGTAGAATTGAAAAAATCATGGCAATCACTGGATCAAGGTTAACTAGACCTGCGCAGTGTTTCAGCAGTTCAAACTTGGTTCATATTCTACATTCTACATGTCAGGGCATTTACACAGTCATTCACTGCACAAACTTAATAACAAGTTCACACCACCACGCCAAGCATTGCTTATTGATTGAATTTTATTTCAAGATAGGGATTTGCAAATGCCTCCTTGCTCGGATCATAGGCTAAAAATTATACCAATATACTATACAAAAGACAGCCGTTATGTAGCAGGCATTTCTTCTGGATAAAACCAATAAGCCTTCAAGACCAGTTTGCTTTGCCCTTTTTTTAAGGTCCTGCAAGCAGGTATTACTCTCTCAAACAACCATTTGTCAGCATAATGCAAATCAAACACAACATCTGTGACTGTTATCAGCAAGAGAGGCAGAGAACTAAATCAGTTCCCCAGCCCTTGTGTTTGCTGCTCTGATGGTGAAGGCCACAGCTGTGACAGTTTGAGCCTTCTCTGCGTGCCAATATCTTTGCCTGTAAAATAAATCATTGCGTACACATTGCATGAAATGGTGATGTTTACCTGGAAGGTGACTTGAGCAGTGTAGGTCAGTTTATCACACTCAAACAGCCCCCGGGTTGTGTACTGGAAAACAGAGAAGGTAATGCTGTCGATGAGGTTCAGCACGCGCGCTGCGAGGCTCTCATCTGGAGGTGCCCTCTCAATGGCTTTCTGAAACACGACGCTGAATGCCTAGGACACAGAAGGACACCAGTGGTTTCTAGATGCTCTTTGCATGCTCCTGGGTATCACCTGAAGTGTTGCAATAAGTGAAGCCAACTCAGATATGATATCCCTGGGGCCACAGACAAAGCATTCCCACCTGCCCAGCAGTGTGGCCCACCAGCTCCAGGAGGCAGGGGAACACATCTAGAGACCAGACCCTGTATCTGCCTTCAGCTGCTCTTTCAGGAACATACAGCCAGGCAATGATGACATTCCCTGTGACATTGCACTCTCCTGGGCTTGAGAAAGTAGTGCAGAGACTGGCTGACTGCATTAAGACACAATGGATATAGGAAACATTTATCTGACCAAATGTGTTCTCTCATAGGGATTACAGTCCACTTTCTCTGCAAATGTTGAGCCAAAAATATGTAGTGGCATTCCCAGAGGAAAGCCTACTTCCCATTTCATAAATGTTTCAACCTAGAAAAAAGTAATTCCCTTAAATACAAAAAAATGTCCCACAAATATTTTGCTGTCTGGATTCATCAAAGGACTAGATGAGAAGGGTAAGTAGGACTTCATCCTGTGGAATTGGGATTAACCAGTCAGCAAAGTCCCCTCAGGGATGGGTGCATGCATCGAGAACGATGCTCTTATATAAGATAACTAAGGATTCTTGTAACAACATTTCTGATCTACATGAGAAAAGACAAAAAACTTTCAGAGCTGTCCAAAGAAAACCCATTAGCAAATTATCAGATGCAACTGGAAAAAGAAAAAAAGCCCAAGTCTTGATTAGCAATGCAAAGATTCCATATACTGGGACCCAGCTAACAGGAACTGACCAGGCCAATACAAATGAGTAACACCAACTGGATGAGGTATGACTGTGTTGGCAGCATTATTTTAGGGTTCTACAAAGGAAAAACAATGCCTCAACAAATTAAAGTAACATTGATTCCTACTGCACTATTAAGTAATTGCAGAATGCATTTTTATGCTTAACATTTCTTTAAATTGTGTTAAAACATGTTGCAAAGTAGTATATAAATCTTGTGTGCTCTCATTTATAATGAGCTTCTAGCTTTGTTGTAAGTATTTTGAAATCATATCTGTGAATCTTTATACTATGTTTTATGATCTGTCACCAAAATTTATTAGATAAAAACGTTTCACCCAATAATTTTCTATGTATTTACATACATTGCTAATGTTAACTGGAAAACATAAAACAAACAAAATACAGAAGACTTAGATTAAAGGTGAAAGCTCAGAAACTTCTGTATCTATTATGTATGTCTAAGGAATTAATCTTTCAAAGGGTGTCCTTGCACTAAGGATATTCTGTACATTTTTCTGGTAAAATAACTTCAACATGCGAGTCATAGATATCAAAAAGAAAAGCTTCTTTGTGGATGAGGCTCAAAATATTGTAGTCCCTTCTCAGTTACTTTTTCCAGGTCACTTGTCAAGGTAAGAAATCATTTGGAAGAAGTTCTAGACTAGAATGACATCCCATTTAACCCTCCATCCCCCCAAATACCTTTCTCTTGTGATAAAAAATAACTGTCTTCCATTTATTACAACATTAAAACCAGAACTCTTTGATAAATAACCCAAAAGGCCCTTGGGTGTCTATTGGCCAGACCTACTGAGAACACTCTGCCAAGACAAGGGAGTGTCTGTGCTCTCAATTTTACTGCAGCAGGTCCTTAGGAACTGTTCAGGGACCAAGACTTCCCCAGTGTCTCGGGCAGCACATGCAGAGCACAGAAAGAAGGGACCCCTGTCCAAGCAACTTCAAAGATGAAGGGATGGCTTGAAAAAAACCCCACTTCCTACCAGTCAAGGAACAGAAAACAACTGATTCAGTGATGCTCAAACATGAAGCAAAGACATGAACTATGAATTCACTATGGGTCATATATTTCATTCTAAAAATCCAGCTCCTCCACTGTGGCAAGTGGAGTCTCAGTTTCTTCACACCTGCCATAAAGAGAAGCACTGGTGTCTCAAAGACAGTCAAGAAACTTGGAAAACATGGCCATGCTCTCATTCCCACAAAAGCTTCTCGCTTCCCACTGGGCTCCACTGCAACATGGCAAGTGGGATGGTTCAGCCCCATCACTATGGCTAGTAATAATTACCCTTAAATCAATCTGCCTGTTGAAAATATTCTCCAAGTGTTCTGGTAAGAACCGCTCCAGGTGGTAGTGTTCTCCGAAGGAGGGACATCACTCTTAGTTCTCCATATAACATGTCCACATACCACAGAGCTACACTTGCTATGCAGGGAAGGATAGTCTATTTAGACAAGACAGGAAAGTAGCAAGGCCTTTGGAGCACAGACCCTTTGGCTACGTCTCTTCTACATTTATTTGAGAAGCACAGGGCAAGAAGTCGTCTCTCTTCCAGCATGGTCCCCATCGGGGTGTTCATACTCCCAACATGAGCATGCTTGTAGCTGAGACTGCCAGAAGCCAGACTGTAAGGTGGCAACGCACCCATAAATCCCATCTGGACTTCTAGCTGAGGTACCTTTTAGGCTGCAGGCTTGCTTGCCTGTTTGATGACCGCACACACTCCTCCAGGCTGTAGATAAACGTGTGTGCAGGCCTATACCAAAAGGCGATGAATGTTCAAGTCATGCACATACCTACCTATTCCTTCACACCATCCACACACAGACACTAACCCAGAGTTAGATTTCACACCATGCTGTTTAACTACTGAAAGGCTTTTGTAACTGTAATGTAGGAAGCATCTGAGCTCCTGAAAGCTCAGCCTCTTGGGACCCTTCTTGTAGTGTAGAGATGGAAGTAAGAGTGACTTGCCTTTTGTGAAGAAGGCATCAATAAATCCCTGGCAATGTGTGCTCAGTGGGATAGGACTGTGTTTAGAGTGATGTGATGTTTTCATACTGTGTTATTTGGGAAGTCACATCTGTTTCAACATCCATGTCTTGGATAATTGCTAAGGACTGTGACAATTCCTGTTAATTTATGAAATATCTGCACAGGCCTTATGACCCTGATGACATCACAGACACCAAATGAATGTAAATATAAAGAAAAGATTAACTGATGGAGCAAGTGACTCCAAATGCTGTGCAAAATCTCTGTGTATAATTATATAAAATACACAGAAGAGTACTTTGTCGGCTCTTTCCTCATATGACAACCTTTAAATCTATTGCTCATCTTGTTCTGCCAGGCCAAAGCTCTGAATATAGAAGAAAGAACAAATGGTTTGTAAGGTTCTGCTTTGCAAAGAAACTTCCTGGATTTTTAGTAATAAAGGATGTTAATGCATCCTAAGTCATACTGTGCCTTTCCACAACTTTGACTGCTTAGAACAAAACTAAGCAAAAGAAGGAAAATCTAATTAAGGCTCATCTAATCTGATCCCAGCCTGACCACCTGTGGTGGGCCGACTGGCAAATTCAGATGTGAGTAGGGGCCCTGGCCCACACTCGGTACTCAACGCAGAGGGATGTTTTCTTTTGGCATTCAGACCACTCCTCACTGGGTCTTTGCAAGTGCTGCTGAAATTCTGCTCCTCCCACCAAGGGCAGTGATGAATACACTCTTCTCAGTGCTTGCAGTGAGTTTTGGACAAATCTTTCCCAATGAGCTCTAAACACTAATGCAAGACAAGTAAAGAGTAATGTATGTTAAGCAGACATAGTAAAAAAAAAAAAAAAATACAGGAAACTTTTCCATAAAACCAAATCAGCAGAATGGTTTAGGTTAGATCACCTTTTCGTTTGGGAGTTCAAATATCCCCAAGAGGCCCAAGACAATGATTTTGAACCTCAGTAAAAGAAAGAAGCAGCAGCACTGCCTCCCGCTGCCGTGGGCACGGCCCGCAGCTCGGGGGGACGGTACCTTCAGAGAGAACTGGTACATGGGATGGATGGCCTGGAGGTCGTTCATGGTGAAGTACAGCAGAGAGGCCCGCGCGGCAGCAGGCCTGTAGTGCTCTCTGGCCTCGTTAATCTTGGTTTCTGTCACCTTAGACTCCTGGACCTGGGAGGAAAACACAGGAAAAAAGTACTGTGAAAACATCTTTGTGGATTGAGTACGCAGCCCGGGGGAGGGTTGATGTGCAGGGACCAGCCTCTGCCCCCCACCTATGGTGCAGCCAGGCTTGAGCCACCCACTCCCAGCATCTCCCTTCCTCTAGTATATTCTCCATGTAACTGCATTTACCACCTTGTCCAATTCTCTGTTTTCCTGAGCCTCCTCAAGGCTTCTCACTAGGATCCCTGCTCATTACTAACTGAAATTGGTTTTCACATCAATGAGTTTCTGCTGCTAATTGCCACCCTCCTATGCAGGTCATCAATAACACAGGGCTGAAGCTGAGTAGACTTAGTGCTGCTCTTGAGGCAGTTTCCCCCAAGGCCAAGAACTGCTAATTTATAATATCTATTTGCTGCCTTTCCTCACCAGCATTTATCACACCTCTACCTTGCTGGCCAGGTGTCTGCATAGCTGCTGTGATGGACATGGTTAAAATCCTTTTGGCAAATACATCACTCCATTATCATCTTAGTCCTGTTCATTCTTTCATTCCAGTTCAGCACCATAAAGTGACGTCCTCAAGCCTCTTGGGGATTATTTTAGGCTCTGGCTATGTACGGTCACAAGTGTCTTGCAACCCAGCCACATGCTGCCAATCCAGTGCTGATCCAGCTAGCTCAGCAAGCTATGCAATGGGAATGGGGCAGAAAAGGGCTCAGCACATTTTGTACAACTCCAAAATTCATCCCTGTTGCCTCAGAGCTGGCAGACCTTTACAACCACAACTTGTTTAGAAATTGAAGAACTTCAAGAACACCTACTCCAAGGGGGAGATGCCAAGCTTTCCAGGTCAAACATCCCTTCAACATCCCCTTTGGGGGTTCAAACAAACCCTCCTTAGGGAGATGAACGCATCTGATGTACCATAAACGTCTAGAAGAAATTATTTTGATTTTTAATGTGGAGGAACACTTAGTTCCTCAGTCATTGGTGCTACAGCACTGGGAAGTGTGAGGCAGTTCCAGCCTGACCCCAGCACACGGGTAACTTATTCAGGTAGCACGGGCCAGTGGGCTGGAGGACGACAACTGTGGGTTGTGAGGATGGGAGGACTGCAGAGGGAAACAGTTGACAGTGGCCATAAAAGAGTCCTATCGCAATCCTGGCATGACAACCACACTTTTCAAGTTCCCTCAGTGGCAGAGGAAAACCACTGTGCATTTAACTAACCCCATCTAGCCAGCAAGGTGAATTAGGTAGGTGGCAATGCTGACACCGCACAGCTAACACAAATGCTGATTTATACTCCAAGGAATGTAAGGGTATGAAATACTCAAGTTCTTGTAGATTTACTTGAGATCGCAAACTCAACAGATTTCAGTCCCCAGTCAGTACTAAAATCCAGCTTAATTGGGGAAGTGTGATGTAGTCAGGATTACACTGGAACAGTTTAAAGCTGCCTCGATACAGTGTGTAAATTTTATTGTCTTTACATCAGCCACTGACGTTTTCTCTTGGTCTTAAATAGGCCATTTAACATACAAAACCACCAAAGAACGAAATGGCCTGAAGCTGTCCAGAATGGAGAGCACTTCAATTTATACCACCTTCTATTCTCTACTCAACAGAAGGGGCAGAGATGGGAAGAATAAAGAAGTTACATTCCACCCAGAAATCCTTAAAGAAAACATCACACACATGCTTATCTCTAGGCTATCACTGTCTTTGTACCTTCTCTTTAATTTCTGCAGCTGTCTGTTTAGTGATCTCCAAGTTCTCCACCAATGCTGTGTCTTCCAGGAAGTTCCCAGATGCTGATGACAGCCGAGAGAGCAAGTTGTCCTCTAATGTTTTCAAGGTGATTTTGAATCCATTCTGTTGCTTTGTGAGATCTGACTGCAAATAATAAATTCAGAAATTTTTAGCCACAAAACACACGGTAAATTAAGGATTAGCTACCTCCACATGGGAACAGGCTTCTAACTGACAATTGCCATAGTCTGTTATGGCTTACTCCTGCTCTCTGTGACTCCTGGGTATGGGCAGAGCTCTGGGGATCACTCCATATCCAACAAACCATCAACTCAGAGAAACCTTGGACAGCACAGAAAGCATCAGGAGAACTGAGCCCTTCCACTAGGAATGTAACAAAATGCTGAAAATTACTCAGGAGGAAAAGACCTTCATCCCCCATCTCAAACATATATCCTGCATCTCCATCTTAGAACTATCTATTTATTGGGCTCAGGTCAGCCTGGATAGTCCCTGTTGCTTCTCACCCCTCCTGGTGAACCACTGCACTTGCCACTACACACCAACACCAGTCACACCATCAGTGAGGACCACGGGGTCAAAACATGATGGGTAAAACAACAGAAAGGTCACTTGTGTCCAGAGAGAAGCACAACACATCTCAGGCTCAGAACTGATGGCAAAGTCATGGCCTTTATTGCTGCTCCTGTTTGTATTCTGGCTTCAAGCTCTCTCTGGGACCAGTGGCTTACTGTGCTAGAAGCTGTACATGCAAAGGCAAGGTTCCCCCGGCCAAGGGATTTGCAAACTCGGCACAAAGCCCAGAAAATACAGACCAGTAACAAACATCTCGCCTCAAGGGCAGATTTTCTGAATTACAGTGCAAATTCTTCCAATTTCTGTGAAATGCCCCCTTCATTCTCTCCAGACACTTGTTTCATTTCCCTCCCTTCTGCAGAAATACCAGTCATTAACACTGTTCATGGTGGGAACAAAGACTCTCATCTGGCTCCTTTTTGAACCAATCCTCCAGAATAGGCTTTCTCCCATGAAATGTGATTGCCCTATTCTATGTGTTTGCTCTGGGAAATTGCATCTTTCCTGGATTTCAGGTGTATTATGTTATTCTACTGTATGGTCCTATTGTGAATGCCTATTTTTAGCATTATCACAGAAAACATCCTGTGGGAAAGCTGTGCATCTGATTGGGATGCTGCTAAGATATAAGCCTGATGACTATTCTCTACATAAATGAAGTCAATCGCTAACACGCTAACGTAAAACACTACTGTGTGACACACAGTTTTTAATCCTCAGACTGTATTTAAGTGACACAACCAAGAAATTCAACTGACTTTCAAAAGAGTGTTTTATAGCCCTGCAAAAAATAGCCAGCTCCATGAAGTAGCAGACATGGTGCCCATGGAATTGAGACAAGTTCTGGGCCACAACAACTAGCACATAACAGATTCAGTGTCATAAGCCAAGTGATTTAATGCTCCAGAGACAGTTTTTGGAAAACATACCCACATCTTCCAACCACCTCCAGGGTCTGGAGGAGCCCCACAAATAGGAAATGTGACCAATGTCTCTTCCAATGCCACAACACGGAAAGGAACCAGCAATATTTGCTCTGTTGTCAGAGGTTTTCAAGCAGTTTAACTAACTCTTTCATTAATAAGTCATCTTTCAATATTTGGGCTGAAATTTCATATATTTGCTGCACACACACTTTCCATGTTCATGTCAACCCAAATATTCAACAGTGTGTACTGAAGCATGCTTTTTATTGGTATTTCAGCTATAAATGGCTGTTTTTAAAGGCCTGTTCTGTAGGCATTACACACAGGAGTTTGCCCGTGGTGGTAAATATTTTACAAGTCTTGAAACAGAAAACTAACATGGCTAATTTTGTGTGTTCCTGTCATTCAAGCATAGCATGCCTTGAAAATTGACATTTTGTAAGCTATTATTCCAGACCGTAGACTATAAGCCCTGGATTTATTAATGAGGATGTGTGTGATTTTTGCTCCAATAGCTTGTAATCACCACACAATTTCTGAAATGCACCCTTAGAAATGTATACAAAGCTATATTTCCGACAACAGCCTGCATCTGGTTTAGCTTTATCATGCTATTGTTTTCAGCAGTAGCAAGGTCATCATTTCTTATTTCTGCAGTGGAGCTCATTATCTGTTATTTCACAGTTGATATATTGCAGCACTACTTGTGGGAAACAGGTTACTCTCAGATCCTTTGAAATTTTGTTCCATGAATAAAAAAAAAAAAAAAAAAAATAGTTCACCAGAGCTACAGGCCAGTTTTGCAGGATTCACTACCAACCCCTTCCTACCTCAGCCACAGTAGCCACCTTCCTCTCCTTGTCCTTTCTGCTGCTTTTATTGCATGACTTTAGCATCACAAACCAGAGGGGAAAAAAAAATCCCTGTGTTTTCTGTCTACTCCTGCAGAGCAAATTTTTTCCTGAAGAACCATCTCAACACTGTCCATCACAGCCTAAATGTGCAGGGACTTTCACACACACTTTATCTACTGAATCACCTAGCTCATGCCTTATCCACCTATAGCTTGGGACACAGCTGCCAAAATATTCTTCCTAAGGGTGTTCTCAGCACTAAACAGATAATGAGTTTGAGACAAATGCCATGTGAAACACTTCAGACCAAACAGCAAAGTCTGGTGAAGGTGGAAGATACGTAAACCCAGCCCTGATAAGACTACGTGGACCAGAGACGGTGCCGCCAGGACATGGGCCACACTCATCCTTGCAAGAGGAAATTGCACATGTGACTATTTAAAGGCTGGAGGGTTTCTACTGACCTGAGAGGGAAGGTCTGAGGACTTGGCTTTGTTTGTCTTAGCCTAAACCGGTTTCAGCTTCTCTTAGCTGTGATTGTCTCACAGCCAGGTCACCATTATCCTAACCTGTTTTAGACTGCCTTTAATTTAGAGTCAGAGCAAGTAGTTATTCTGGACAGATTAATCTGTCTCTAGAACCAAAATATGGTAGCATGCAGATGTGGTTGCAGACTCTGAACACCCACTGTAGCAGGAGTACAATGCTGTGAATCAGATAAAGATACCTTCAAAGATAAGAAGGAACAGAAAGACTGAAGAACTGGAAATCAATGAAGAAAAATATTATGGAAACAGATTGTGTTGAGAAAACATGTAAAAAGTGGTAGTGTTATCATAATTGGATTAATAATAGCTGTTTTATGGATTTTTATTAGATTATTAACAATAAATTCTGGGCTCCACATGTAGGGTGCACTCCATCTTTGCCCGTAACAAGATTTTGAGCTCACTAACTATTGTTCAGTACTGTAGAAGTCACCTCTATCTGCCCATGAGCCAGAGCCCTAAACCTTCCCCAGACACCAAATGCCTGTCCCTTTTGTCCCAGAGTAGAGTGGATGGATTAAAACCGTCCTAGAGAAGTGGCCTCTACTTTGGGAAATCCAAAGATGCAAATTTTTGTCTTCAAGGAGCTCCCCCAGCTACCAGACAACAGCCTTCGTGGCTTCTTTCATATCAGTAGTTAGACTAGGGGCAGGAGAAGGTACTGAGCCCCTGGCCAGCCATCATCCACAGAGGTCAGTGCACCTCCAGCCACTGCCAGCCCCTCCTCACCACATCTAAGGAGTCAACTCTCTGCTTTTATCCCAGCAGGGAAGAGGTTTTTTTGACTGACTGTTCCCCATCCGGCAGAACATGTTGAATATCAGGCTGGTCTTCACCTCCCTGATACCTGCTGGGGCAGCAGGACTGCAGCAGGCGGGAAGTAGAGGAGAAGGGAAGGAGAGAGAGTGAGCTCTGGTATTATCTTGCTGTGGTGATATAGAGAAAAAGGTCTTAAATATTCTTAAAGGAAAGTAAACTTACATCCCACACAAATCTGTATCTGCTGAGTGCTCTCTCAAGTTAGCCTACAGTCCCATACCCCCCACAGCCATAGCTGGCACCCAGGGACGCATTTCCTGGTCCTGTGCCCAACCTCCTTCTTCCACAACATGCACGCCCTGAAGAAGCAGGAACTTCAAAAGATATGATCCCTAATTCACATCACTGAGACTGTTTTCTAATACATAGTTGTTTTACAGCATAGAAGGGAAGTGCTGCCAATTTTGAGCTACTATTTTCAGAGCCTAATAGTGCATTTGCTGACTGCACATGATATTGAATTTGTCTTTCTTATTGTGACAGTAACCATTAACAGTGATGCTGCCAAGGCTAAGAGGAACGGTCCTTAACATAATAGCAGTTAATGACACCACTATGCTAATTGTGGTCACCCCCCAACCCTCTTCAGTGCAAATCAGCAAAGGAAAGCAGCAGTTTGCAGCATTTGCAACCCAGTGCTGAGCATGTGAGAGGAGTGCCTGATCAAGAGGCTTTGGGTCTCTTGTGGCCCCAGCAAGATAGCCACGGCATACACATTAAATCAGTTCATTATGTATTTTTGATGCCATCTTTTGGCTCATTAGCACATAAGCCTGGTTAAAACTAAATGCATCATTAAGGCTGCACAGCTAACATACTTTAGAACCTTGTTACATGAAAAGATTATTATAAAACTGGCCTGGCCTGACTGAACATGTGCAGTAAATTTATTCCCACTCAGTAAACATTTAGTATTATATATATTTGTTACATTGTTAAATGTTCCCTTAGAACAAAGGATTTTCTTTAAAAGATTGTCTTGAAACTGAAGCCATACTTATTGAAAGAGAGAGAGAGGGGGGTGGTGATGGGGGAAACATTTTGGCTTGTTACAAACAAGTGGGAGGAAGAACCAGAACAGAAGAATTTCGTTACCAGCCTCACAATATTTACAGTGGCAATCCTATACCATAAATACCTTAAATTAAGTGAGATTAATCTTACCTCCAAAATTAAATCCATGAAGTCCAGAAAAGCTTGATATAATGAGAATCTCAGATTCCATTTCCAAGAGGAGTAGAAAAAGGAAGAGATTCTCACCCAAAATTTTGGAGAAAAAAAAATTAAATTGCAGTTTAAGTGTTCCAAAAATACAAAGAAAACAAAAGACTGAAGTAGAAAATTCCTCAATGTTTGGCATTCAAGGGGAATCTCATTTTATGATGAGCTCAGCAATCTCTGCAACTTTGAACATGAAATGCTATTTGTTTTAAATTACAATAGTAATTATTATTTAATATTTTTATGAATGTTGTTGTTAGTATTTATACCTGCTCCCAATGTAAACTCCCAGCTACTGACCTTAAGCTCTTCCAAGTCAGGCCTCTCCATGTTGACCACAGCTGCAAGCAGCTGGTCCTCCAAGCCATCTCGCGTGATGGTGAAGTTGATGAGGGTGCACTGTGCCTGCAGCTCAGGTTGGAAATGGGGGTTTGCCAGTTTTGTGTGGAGGATGAGGCGGAAAGCAGGGTTGAAATCACACTCTTTGTCCCCGATCTTAATGTACCTGAAATTCAAGCAAAAGGAGAATAAGCGCACATCTCTTCGAGGACATTTCACCCAAAGACAAATGGTGGCATCAGTCAATGGCATCTACCAGCATGGGACTTTGCACTCTTCACACAGAAATCACTGTTAAAGCAGTAAGTATTTAAAATTGGACATAACTGAATCAATTCTGATTTAGGATAAAAACTGTAGACAGTTGCCCCTGATTTTTGGATCCCATTTGAGAAGGCTCACCGTTTCCAGCAGCATGATGGCCAGTTCAACCATGAACCCTCCTTGGTTTTTACACAGGCTGTTACTCTACCTACAGTTGGAGTTACCTGGAGGAAAAGCCCCTCAGCCTTGAGATTTTAATGAGCCACAGCTAAAATTGCCTGGTCCGTTGGCTCAGAACAGGCCAATTCTGTGGTCACACTGAGCTTGAGCGGTGAAGCCAGGTGAGGGGAGCGGCTGGTTGCCATTTCTGGGAGGTGACATCACTAAGGAAAACCCAACCTTCTCCTGTTCTGCATTTCTAGAATCAACTCTAATTCGTATCGAGACCTCAGGAATCAATATACTCTGAACCCAAGTTTAGCAAAGTCCATGGGAAGGAGAGGAAAAGAGAAATGGGGAATGCTTTCAGGGATGCAGTCGGACTGTTACAGGAACAGTGGTGTTATGACGGGAATTTAAATACACTTTCCAGCCCAACATCAGCTCACTACGTGTCTTCTTGGTCAGCTCGATTGCTTTTACAGTTGTGAAACTGAGGCAGAGAGAAAACACATGGTGCATGCAGCTCACAGCAGCACCCAGAAATACCACTGAGAGCCCAGATTTCAAAAAACCTTCTTGCTCTGAGAGCAGAGACATACAGTGGCAAAAGGGGATGACTGAGTTTTTCACTGTAGGGAGGCTCAGGAGTCCCACCACCTCTGCTGTATCCCCATCTAGCTTTCAAACATTTCAATCCCCTTCACTGGGACCATCATTCTTTCCGAGTTGATCGTTCCCTTCCATCCTGCAGCTGAGCCCACAATCAGCCACCCTTCTCATGATGTTTTCCCCTGCAAACTTTCCAAACAGCTTGCCTTTCTCAGTCATTTACATCATCCAAGGGTATTTTAGGCAAGTAAAGAAATGATCCTCAAAGAACGTAAGGAAAGTGAAACACAAAGCTTAGCAGGCTTTTTGTTATTTACTGCACAAAGCCAAGAGCAGGACTGCACCGCGAGGCTCTGCAGCAGGCACAGAGGGCAGCCCATGCCGGGCTCCTGCGAGAGGCTAAGCTGGCAGCAGTAGAGACTTTTAAATGCCCAAAGGACATGCATCCTTCTACTCTGGGAAAGCCAGTGAAAAAACATCAGAAAAGTCCCTGAATCAGGGACAGAACATGAGTGTGGTGGGTTGACACTGGCTGGATGCCAGGTGCCCACCTAAGTCACGCTATCACTGCCCTCCTCAGCAGGACAGAGGGGAGAAAATACAACAAAAGCCTCGTGTGTTGAGATAAGGACAGGGAGAGATCATTCACCAATTACCATCACAGGCAAAACAAACTCAACTTGGGGAAAAATTAATTACCAATCAAATCAAGTAGGGTAATGAGAAATAAAACCAAATCTTTAAATACCATCCCCCCACTCTCCCTTCTTCCTGGACTTAATTTTACTCCTAATTTTCCCAACCTCTTCCCCCACAGTGGTGCAGGGGGGCAGGGAAGGGGGGTTGTGGTCAGTCCATCACCCGCTGTCTCTGCTGCTCCTTCCTCCTCAGGGGGGGACCCCTCACACTCCTCCCCTGCCCCCGCGTGGGTCCCTCCCACCGCAGCCCGTCCTCCATGAACCTCCCCAGCCCGGGTGCTTCCCCTGGCCTCCAGCTCTTCACGAACTGCTCCAGCGTGGCTCTTTCCCACGTGTCCTCTCCATGGCGTGCAGCCCCTTGGGAACAGACCGCTCCGGCGCGGGGCCCCCGGGGGGCCACAAGTGCTGCCAGCAAACCTGCTCTGGCGTGGGCTGCGCTCGCCGCGGGGCCACGGGCCCTGCCAGGAGCCTGCTCCGGCGTGGGTTCTCCACGGGGCCACGGCCTCCTCCAGGCGCACGCTCTGCTGTGGGGCTCGCCCCGAGCTGTGGGCAGGCGCCTGCTCCCCTGTGGGCCCCCACGGGCGCAGGGCACAGCCTGCCTCACCACGGGCTTCTCCGCGGTCCTCACAGGGATCTCTGCTCCGGCGCCTGGAGCACCTCTTCCCCCTCCTTCTCCGCTGACCCTGCTGTCTGCAGAGCTGCTTCTCTCGCAGATTCTCACTCCTCTCTTTGGCTACAGTTGACCAGTTATGCAGCAACTTTTCCCCCCTCTTAAATACGTTATCCCAGAGGTGCTACCGCCTGGGCTCGGCCTCGGCGAGTGGCGAGTCCGTCTCGGAGCTGGCTGACATTGGCTCTATCGGACATGGGGGAAGCTTCTAGCAGCTTCTCACAAAAGCCACCCTTGCAGCACCCTCCTTACCAAAACCTTGCCACGTAAACTCAATCCCATGAGTTTTATTTGTTGCCATTATTTGAGCACACACTAAAAATGTGCTTATTTTACTTTATACGCAAGAAAAAGGAAAAAGTTAATGCCCTTGATGCCCCTTTCACTGATCTCCCCTCAGCTGGAGGGTGACCAGCAGCTGTCATGAAGAACTTGACCTCATTATTGTATATTCTTATATATAAGAACACTTATATATTCTTAATGCTTAAACCTGTAGCTGTATTTGTAAGCCGTGCTCAGTGTTTGCTAAAATTCAAGGTTACTTTTTCTTCAGAATGGCAATAGCTATTTTGGTAATAATTCTGTGTCAGGATAGCCGGTTACTGACTCTGAGGTCACTATACAAAAGGAGAATGACAGGTCTCTCTTTTACATGAGATTTGAACGATACTGTCCAACAAAATGAAAAATCTAGGTTTATTTCAAAGCCATCCAATGACTGAATTACTTGTGATTGCCTGATTTAAAATACCCTCACTTCTAAATGCAGGATGTTCATGTTGCAGTATATGAACACCCACAATCTGAGGTCAGGAATAGAAAGCACAACAGCACAATGAACCCATTCACACATGCCATTAAAACTCCACAAAATTCACCTTCCTTTCTTGATTGTTTCTCGTCCCAGTAACGGCCCCAAAACTGGATCCACAGATTCCTCCAGGTTTTCAATCAAAACCAGTTCTCCTGCTGCCAGGGCTCGTTCGATCGTGTCCAAATACCTGTGGGGAGACAGCATGGGTACCTGGCACAGCAAGGCTAGATGTGATGCTTTGCAGCAAGGGGGATGCGAGGGGGACAGAGGGGTGCTCCACACTGCCGTGGCAGCTACATACACATGCCAGCAGTTATGAGAAAGAGGGGTAAAATGGTGTCAATGTGTGGTGCAGAAAGCCACACTGGCAGAGTCTTGGCTGTCCAACAAAGAGAATGAAGTCTCAGACCTCCCAAGGGTAAGCAATAATAACTGAGCCTTCTCTCCCAAGAAAAGAACACAGACATCCATGAACAAAGATGGGACAGCTTGGAGTTATTTTTAGCAAATACTTTGTTTCCCCCAGAACCCACTGGTGCAATCCATCTTGCATAAAAGCAAGGATGAAGAGCAGGTTTCATCTCCATTTTGCCCAGGGTTTAGGGTCACGTTTGGGATAGCTTCTTTCCTCGTAAGGGAATTGGATCCCTTTGCCCAGTGCCTAACCATGAAACAGGGATGCTCTGCATTGGGATGCTTTGTGTCTGTAAGGGCTTTCTCCTTCAGGGCTGCTCTGCACTTCACACAATTTATTTCTCTGCAAAGAGGAGAGAAGGGCCCTGGGCAGGCTGTGAGGATGCTCCAGGCACTGCTACACCATCACTGTTGCAGTGAATTGCTCCAGCTAACTCCACTGGCTAAAATGTAGGTTCTTAGTCTAAGCTAGAGAGTTTGGGACCTCAAGAGGTGATAGAAAGATCTAAGACAAGAAGTTCAGAGTGACCTTTAGGCCTGACCTTTAGAGGAATATGTTAACACAATGCAAATCCCATCATTGATTAGTAGTCCCCATTTTTCTGAGTACAAGAATATTTTATACAAAGAAACAGTCAGAGAGAATAACAGCAGCTGACCCCCAAGCGGCTCAAATGGCCCTTTCCTGTAGGAGTGAGGGGTATGGGTTTAAAGTCTTAAAGCAATTGCAAGCAAAGAAGCACCATTTCCCAGATGATAAAACACGCCCTTATTTACTGTAACAGGACAGCGAATGATGCTTGTAACCAATGGCCCTGAGACATCACAGCAACACACTAAACTCCCCTCTTAGAGTACCTGCCAGCATGGTCTGTGGCCAAGGAGAGAGGGGGAAAAGAGATGCTGCGTTTGCACAGCAAGCAGTAATGACAGCATAGGAATGTTACCGCGTCTATTCCTCTTGTTCCATCCTGGAGGTTTGTATTTAGGTGCCTCCTTTGGGATCCTTACTTTTCCACAGACTGCTTTGAATAACTGCAAGACCTGGTGGCCAGGTTGGCCAGGAAACAGGAATTTGCTCTAAAGGTAAACGACCTGTATTTTCATCCCACACAAGATCAGATCTAGTAACTTCTTGTTATTTACTGTGAGGAAAGCAGAGGAGGCACCAACAAAACAACCTGGGCAACCCCAAGACATCTCCAAATCTACATAAATTTGCAAACACCAAGCTTGGGTCACTCTCACCTGTTGCCAATTCTTTGTTCTGTATTAAAAACCATCATTTCAGCACTCACACTCGAGCAGGGATTTGATTCTTGGTCTGCTCCATCCCAGCTGGGACTCCTCACTAGTGGCTAGGAATAGGTGCAAACTGGGATAGCAGAAGACCGGTCTGTGTGCTAACTGGAGAGAAGAGCCAGGGGCTGAAAAGCCTTCCCATAGAAGATTTCGTTAGATCAGTGCTGTGGTGCTGCAAGGAGAACCTCCTAGCTGGTGCCAGTGTGGGAGCAGAGTTAGCCCAGCTGGTCTTCAGGGCATGGTGACCCTCATGGCAGCTTCACCCTCCGTGCCCAGGCCCTCTCCCTTCTTCCAAGATGTAGGAAGCCCTACTCACCCTCCTGGCTGGAACTGAGTCAGGACACAACACAGAAGATGAGCCCGATGGAGGATGCCATAGTCCTACACATAGCTCAGCCTCCAGCACATAGCTCTCCCCAGTCTCAGTTTCAGAGGAGTTACTATGGTAACTGAGCCAAGCACTACACAGACTCTCTATTTAATGAGAAATCTATCATTTTGGTAATGAATAAGCAGCTACTGCGCAAATATATTTGAGGGTTTTTCTCAATGTAATTGGCTCAGATGGTTGCAGTTAAATATATATACTGCTCATCAAATATGATAGGCAGATAACCGTTAAAATGTATTATTATGTAATAAGGCTGATGTTTACCCCTTCTGCCCAATTCGGATCACTCGGAGGTCTTCACCATACTTTGCTTTAATCCACTTGATACCCTGCAGCTGGGGATCCACCATGAGGGGCCAGCGCTCACAGTTGGTGAGGATGGTGGCATTTTCAGTGGACATCCGATCAGCTGGAAGGCCCTCGTTCTGCCAAGTTGCTACATCAGCATCATCTGTCAGCATGGTCAGAGGATCGAGGGACGGAGTTACAGGGATTGACACCTGGGAGGAAAGGAGAAATGCTTTCTAGTGTATTGGCAAAAAGCAGTGAGTGCGACTTGCAACTCATCTAGAGATGAGCAAGGAAAATATTTCAAGAAAATATTTCAAATTAAAAACTGATGTCAAATTTATCAGTGGCTTCCCACCATACAGGATACTTTTGATCTAGTATTAAGTGTTTCCCAATCCCGTTGTGAATGAACGCAAATTATGCAAGCAACTCAGAGATTTTTGCCTGCAGAGCAGGAAGCATCCCGAAGGGCCAAAGCCCAGCCAAGCAGGCTCAGATCACACACTGCTGTGTTCAAGCTCTCTGAGATGACAGCTTCAAATAATATAATTAACACCCTTTTAAGCCTGTTGTGTTTCAAAACAGCATTAGCAGTTCCAGAAACGCTCCTCTGGCATGGGAGGCCATTTCTGGTTGTGACAACCAGGAAATTATCTGTGCCAGTCTGAGCAGAATGGGCCTTTAATTTCCCATTAGAAATACAGGCACTTCCTTGAAATTTCTAAGCACAGCCAGGACAATTTTGGAACAATATTGCCTCTCTTAACTAAATTTTTGGTTTAGTGTTAAGAAATGCAGACTGAAGTTTTTCCTCCCTCATCCTATGGAACTTGCTAATTTTCTCAGATTTTTGATTTGGGCAACACTGTCCCAACCTTACTTAGAAACTTTTTGGCATTTCACCAGTAACTGGCACCACATCTAGTTACTGTACTGATGTGCAAAAGCTCAATCCTGCAGGAGACCGAGCACTTCCATTTACTGATGTATGAGAGAACCTGTTAAAAATTAGTGAACTATTAAGAAAGTTAGAAGCATAACGGTCTCCATCTGGCCCAACAGCAAGGCATAGGCATGAGTGTGGCCACATCCTGCTCCTCAATCCAACTTGGTGGGGACACCGGCATGAAGCTCATCTGGGGGGGGGGACATCCTCACTTGAGGATTCCCCTGTGGACATCAGAATTTATGGCCATGTTAATTCCAGTAACAACAGCTTTTCAGAGAAATCAGGGCTTACTTCTAGCTGGTGCAAATATGGCTTCCAGATTCCATCCAGGAGGTTTTGACGGTATTTCTTGGTGAAGTAGCCCAGGTAGGAGACGAAGGCTGTAATCAGTAAGACATCTCCACACAAGGTGCTCTGTTGCTGTTTGAAGTCCTTCACGGCTTCAGCCCATCTCACATTCTCAGAGGTGAGTCCCCCAACCTACAATTTCCCAAGTCAAATTGATCATTACAGCAGTTCTTTAAGCAGTATCTCGGAATCTGGCAATGTTCATACCCTGTTCCTGACGTCAACTGTCATTTGCTAAAGTTTAAAACCTGGGGATGGGAAATATTCTATGCAAGCAAAGTTAGCAACTATGCTAACCCCACTGTCCCATTCAGTGAAAGACTGGTATTGCAGTCAAATCTCAGCTGTCTGCTCCACAACTCCTCTAAAATCATCGAGGGAGGATCCATCACTTCCCCAGCAGGAATATACATCAAGATATCTGCACAAGGATTTCTGAAGCAGCCCCATCAGCTGTTAATTGCCTTAATGCCACAGATTCACACCTTGTTACATCCTCTCACATAGAGCATCCTCTCCAATGGCTGCAACCTTCAGCTATTTCATACAATTTATTATTACCCCAGGTAGATGGGATTTTGATCACAATCCCTTTGGGTTTACATATTTCTTTCCGTTAAGGCTCTGTCCAGAAAACACTTCCTCACAGACTTTTTTCATGAGCATCTAATGCACAAACAGTCCAACTGAGGGCTTACCAGCTTTGAAGAGGGCACAGAATTTCCCTGTAAAATAATATATCTCTGCATGCACGAACACCTTCTTTGACTATCAGTAGTTTTTGGGGTACCATTGATCCGTTGTTCCTGAAGTCTTATGATTATAAGAGATATCCTGACCACACACACCATTTTTTTTTTTAACACTGATGACTTTTTTTTAAAAAAAAAAAAAAAAAAAAGGAGAAAACTTCAGCTCTATTAACTGAGAAACACGCTTGGAAATATGAATGGAATGCATCCTTCAGGTTCCCAAGCCAGTAAAACCCAAAACAGTTTTAAGCTGGCCTCATGGATTTGAGGTCAAGAATGCCAAATATTATGGTCAAACTCACAATCATGCTCCTGCTGTCAAGGTGCTCTGGAAACATCCATGTAATATACAGATCCTCTCTACTCACAGGCCTCCATTACCAGGGCCAACGAGCACTTTCTATTTTTCTTCTTCAGTGTACAGCCCACATGAGCTTGGGGTTATTTCTCATCTTTATAATTTATACTAGGAATTCCTCTATATCCTTCTCTTTTATAAATCTCCCCAAATAAGGGATGCTGCAAATGTGACTACTATGAATGACACTGCCTCCTTCATCTAGGTCACTGTTAAATGTTAAATAGGATCAGCTGTGACACAAATCCCTGTGATAAGACTTATGAACACCTCAAATAACTCATTTCCCTAAACTGGGTTATTTTGCCATCTTAAACTGATATGTGGATGCAGGTCCCCAGGATGGGAAAGCACCACCTTCAGATCCTCACTGAATTCCACCGTCACACATTCCAACTTGACCAACTCCCATTTCTGGCAGAATCTTGCCACCTTCTGAATGTTAGAAGCCACCTTCTGATTTCCAACACAAAATTACTCCTGGCCAGTGTACACCATCGGTTCTCATGCGGACACTGTCCTCCAGCTCCAACAGCCCTCCTTTCACCCTCATGTGTACCTCCAGATGCTTTTATAAACAGACACTATTTTCTAGGGAACACGCTGTGCTTGGCAAAGCAAAAGAAGTTGATCTAGTTCACCTCTGAAATACACAACCACAGGAACAGCTCTACCAGGCCAGACCCAAGGTCCACCTCCTTCAGTGTCTTGTCTGCTGACAGCAGCCCTTAGCAGGTGACTCGGGAAGACTATACAGCTGAGCACATGGCAATAGCTCCTGACAGCATCTCCAGCTTCCCACAACCGGAGCTTTAAGGACCTTCTGAAACAGAGTTTAGATCTTTGTGCTTAGTAGCCACTGATGATTTTTTTTTCCTTCATGACTGAGTCTAAACTGCTCTGGATACCTTCTGGCATCCACAGCATGCTGTGGCCAGGAGATACACAGTTTAGCTATGCTTTCTATAAAAAAAAAACACACATCCTTTGATGTGTTTCCCAAATTTTTCAGTTTCTAAAACTTGTTTGCACAGTGGAAAAACAGCAATCATGCTTGCATCACCTTCTCCATACCACTCAGGATTTCAAGCCCTTGATACTCCTTCTGCTGTCTCCTTTTGAGGTTGAAGAGCTTTAGCCTATTCAGTAATTCCTCACACAGAAGCATTTTGATTGTCCCTGCAATCTTTATCTTTACTGAATGATGTAATCTTTATTATCCGGTTTCTTTTCATTGTTACCTTCTCTGCACCATTTCCCATTCTACTACATCCTTTGAGGTACAGCAGAGTGGGCAGAGGTACAGCTGAGCATTCAAGATTTATTTAGAATGTATTTATATAGCAAGATTGTGATTTCTCTCTGCTTTGTTCTCTCTTCTTTTCCTAATAAACCCTAACATTCAATTTTGGCTTGGGTTTTGGGTTTGTTGAAGCTTTTTTTTGCCTCTGGGAGCACAGAGCTCACATACTCACAGCACTCTTAATTCCATTATTTCATTTCTGAATTATAATAACTATCTCAGCATCACTCATGTGAAGTAAAAACTCTTTTTTCCAATATACATTACTTTACATTTATCTACCTGGCATTTCATAACTCTATCACTTGATATCATTTTCACAATTCTTTATAGGTAGTGTCCATCATTACTGTAGTCAGAATACTGAGAAACTGTGCAACCTGCTTACACACCATCTTGTCCACATTGCTTATGATTATACTAATGAACACAAGAGCTAACAGACACCTGCAAAAATACCTCTGACGGCCTTTCTGCCTTAATAAATCTGCTCCTCTGAACCAGTGAAAACTGCCTTCTGGGCACTCTGACTCCTTCCAAGAGAAGAAATAGAGGCCGCAGGTTTTCTTTGCCCCATTCAACCTCAGAGGTGTCCCTAAACCTGTTCCAGCTGAGTTACTCTTTCATGAATGTGAACCATACTACCACAAAGCTGCAGAAGTTTCCCCAGTGCCTTTTGCTCATCTCAGCATGTGCCGATATTCCCTCAGCCTTGCTAGAAAGCCCACTCTTGATATGACGAGGACCACATCTGCCTTCCTTAGGTCTACACAGTGTGCAGGGCAAAGCCTGAATAAATATATTCAAGTGGTCCTCACTGGTTGCTGGCAATGTGCTCCTGGTTTAGAGACAACCAACCTGTTACAAATTCATAGTTACATGTCTGCATCTCGTATTACTGAATTTCATCCCATTCCTGTGGTTCTCATATCCAGACCATACAACTATTTCAACTACAGTCATGCTTCCTCTTCATCTGTGGGAATTCCCATTTTTATGTTCCCAGTCTTATAGATCTGTTTTATTGTGTATATGCACATCCATTAAAGCGAAGCATTTGAAGGCTGGAAAATACCAGGGAGAAGGCAGCATAAGATACACCTGCCCTGTTCCTCCTCTTTTCTGGGCATTTGCTGGAGTCCAGACAGTCCCCAGTCTCAGCTCACATCTCTGTTCTTACATAATACTACTTGTTGAAAAAGAAGCAAAGCACTACTTTTAAGTTATGGTTACTCTTAAGGATCATACCTAAATTTTCCTTAATCACAACTCCAGTAAGAGTGCATAGAAGTCCACTTCCTCCATCTTTCCTTTGTAGTTTTTATAGATGAAGTACCTACAGGTCTTCCCAACAGTGTTTTTGAGGTCAATTTTCATACTACTCCATAGCCTCTAAAACCAAGAAGTCTTTATTGATCTGATTTTCCTAATACTTTTAAAGTGTTTACATACTCCTAACTAATTTTTTGAGGTTATTTTTTATCCACTTAGGTCCTAAAGGTCTTTTCTTCTCCTTTTCTTTGGTCACACACTACTACCAGTGTTAGCATCTCAAAGAAATCCTACGTGCCTTCCACCTCAGATCCTAGAAGTCATTGGAATTCATTTTATTTAGAAAGTAGCAAATTAAAAGCCATCTCATTTGATTACTTTTAGCTCTCTGATAATGAGGGATAGTGAGCAATCATTCCCTATTCACCTTCTGCATACCATTCATGATTTTACAGGCTTCTGTCACATCCTTCCCCCCTACACTGCCTCTTTTCCAAAATGAAAAGTCCTAATCTATTTCCTCTCCACACATGGAAGAAGCTATATACTTTGTTGTAGCTTTTCTAAGTCACCTACAGCCTCCTGAGGTGGGGTCATCCGACTGTGTTCAGCATTCAAGATGTAGGCACTGATAGATCTAATACAATGGCTGTTTAACTTCTGCTTCCTGATTTTTTCCTACCAATTACTAATATTCAATTTACCTTTCTTCCTCCAGTCAAGTACCACACTGCTGTTTCTGAGAACTCTCTGTAATGACTCCAAGAGCTCTTCTGAGTGATAATAGTGCAATTAAGACCTATCAATGTAAATACATGATTATAGTTCGTTTTCCCTGCATGCATTATTTTGCATTTGCCATCACTAAATTTCATCTGCCACATTAGCACATATCCACTCACAAATACCATCCATGAGCCATCCTCCTTTTTCTAATGTACAAATCCCTAGACATTCCCTGGTCCCTGTCCCTTGGATCCGGAAGCATCTTCCCTAGGTCGTCTAAAGTTCATGAGATGCCAAACTAAAATCAAGGCACTGTAAAAGTTCGGCTTGCCTTCATCCCCCTGGTTCATTTTTCAATCCAAAGCAACACTATCTGTGTTCAGTTAGGTGTATGCTTCATAAAGCCTCAAATGTGTTTATTTCAAAGTCTGGGGACTTCTTTCTGCCCACAGTCACATAGGTGACACGTCTTGGACATCAAATAAATTGCACATCAGTAAGGGCTATCAGTAAGGGCTATCAGGATCTAGCCCTAGATCAAAGCCAGGGATGACACAGGACACTGTGTGCACTGCACAACAGTAAGCTGGGATGCGAGTAGTTCCCTGCATACACTGCAAGAGTGATCCATTTTCGACAGCAGTAGTAGCTAGCTGTGTGCTTTCTAACCAGGTCTTTAAAAACAGCCAGTGGAACTGGCACTGATTTAACTTGTTCTTGT